GGCTGGAAAGATGAACTACAAAGGCAGTGCTGCTAGTATCCAGGAGTTTGTGCCCCAAGCACTTGCCAACTTGTGACAACGGCAACTCAATGTCTACGCGATAATTATATTCATTGATAAAGTATACTGGAGTATGCGGATTGTGACTTTGAGCAAATACGCCCTCATGTAGCAGCTTGTATAGGGCCGTTCGATACTCTCTTAAGTATTATATACTCTTGCTATAATGTATACAGTAAAGTATGTGTAAATGTAATTCAATAATGTAAACACCTTTAACATTCAGAAAACAAAATAGGCTTAAAACAAAAATACATGTAGTTCACAGAACCATTACATAAATCTCCATTTTAAATGCTACATGTACATGTACAAAACCTACCAGCAGCGTCTTGTTTTTTAGCAAAGACAAGATACTCTCCATCTTTTGTTGGTTTCTCTAAGTCAGCAATATCTGTCATCTCAAACAACATCTCCACAATGCTAGCATACCCTAAAGACTGCCATGGTAGGTCCTCATTAAAGTAATTCTAAAAAACAACTTATAACCAGCAATATAACTTTAGAACAAGTAATACCTTGTATTTCGTGGGAATATCAGAAGCTTTAACACCACTCTTTGAAGATTTCAGAACCTGCATCAACACATAAAAATTATACATGAGGAAAATTAACAAACAAATACATGTAAATAATACAAATATTAGGTGCAATAGCAATAACAGCAAAAATTGTTTTTTAATATTAAAAGTTGAATCAAATTAAATTATCGACATTAAATGCATGTGCAATTCTAAACTTTTCAAATGAAAATACATGTAAAGTCACAAACATTAAGATATTGATACACCAAATGTACATTAAATGTACCACACATCCATGACAATAACAATACAATTGATTCGAACAAAGTAACACCGCCATACATGTAACATGTACTTTCATCACATGTTACATGTATGGTGGTGTTATGAAGCAAAACTATCACTGTCATGCACATTATTTATTTTACGCACATTAAAAAAACAAAGCAAAAATATAAACATGCGTGTCGTTCATGCACATACAGGTACGTGACAAAACTCTTGTATTACAATATTCATATTACAGGAAACTACATGCATATCATAAGTAAAGAGTTATACGTACATGTTTCAATACAAATGGACACCAATCCATTCAAATCAGAGCATTATATGTCTAGGGAGTACTATCAAGTGACATGATAGACGTGAGCATGTTATCTCAATGACAGTAGTCAGACGATATTGCAACTATTAGATTACAAATCATGATACAAGATCAAGCTACAATGTTAGCAAATAGATGTAGTAGGTGTGTCACTTGTTATTCACAAATGACATACATAGTATAGCACACATACATGTAGCATATATGAACATGTGTGTATACACACACACAGTACAGTATGTGTAGTATAAAAATTTACAAACTTAAAAAAATCAATAGATAATTAATTTCTAAAAATATAAAGCACCTATTGCTATAATCCCATACCATTTAAAAGTAAAATTTTCTGGAAGTAAAAAAATTGAGATGGAAACATTACAGTACATTGTACAGTATGTGTCGTATTTGCAATATAAGATTACACATCCTATGTAAACAAAAACAGAAAGCATACATTTAAAAGTGTAAGCAAGCTTATACTATCTACATTACAAGACGGTAAACAAGTCAGCAACTAGTGATGGCCAGTCTGTCAACAAGACTGAATGCTGCATCAAGGACCCCATTAGGTAAGAAAGAAACACTTGTATTACCATAATCATTATTAACTACAACAGGACTGGAACATCTTGACATTGTGCTCAATGCATGCCAAGGATGCAGTGCTAGATGGGAAAGACTAGGACTGAGATTAGGCCTCCACAATGACACAATAGAACAAATAGAGAGAGATCACAATAAATGCACTGACCAAATGAGAGGAATGCTGTCAGAGTGGCTGAAAGGGAATTATGAAGTGTCAGACAGATATCCAGAACCATCCCAACATTCACTGTGTATTGCAGTAGCTGGGATTAACAGAAGCCTGGCAGACACTATAAGCAATGATCCATCATTCAGTGACATCAATGATACACAAGGTAAATAGAAGAGTAGTTTCTCTGTACTGTAACAAGTCAGTAACACAAATTAGAGAAATAAGTTTAGTGCATTAAAACCTTATTCAATGTGCTATAATAATGAACAATTGCATGCTACATGTACATGTAGCATGCAATTGGAATATAAAGTGACTGCTGCATACTTCGCTGCATCAGTGATGCAATGAAAAACAGTTGATTGTTCCAAGCAGGTTACTATTGTTTTGTAAATATCTTGAAAGTTACATGCATTGTTTACAAATATATCTCCATCTTTGGATGCCGCAAGTAGGAAGCATAATATTTTGAAATTTAGTGCTACGGCAACTTGTAATACAAAAATTCAACTTTGCTAGTGCATACAAGTACATGTATGATCTATTGATAATTTGACGTAATTTCAAATCAAATGTTTTGCAGATTTTAATCTTATGATACCAGTAAACACAAAAATATATTTTTACTTTCATAAATAACAGAATAATTATGATATGTGATACTATAGGATCCAATAACAGCAGACCTCATCCATACACCACAGAAGAATTGATGCAGTTCTGTACTTGCACCCAATGTGACCTGGAGACAATAATCACTACAGGCTGCCCTCAAAAAAGAGAAGATTTCCATCCTCTTGATATCAAACGACTTTCATCAGAACAAAGGCATGTATACTTACATCACGCGATAACAGAAATACGAGAGATTAAGAGACAATGGACTCGCACTTACATCCGAATCACACAGTCAATATCAAGGAATACTGGAATATCAGTCTCTTATTTAAAAACCGTCATAACGACACTGGATTGGTTTGGAGCAGCAAAAGACAAAAACTGTCGTCTCCAGCGATTGAATGAGTGCCAAGACAAGGAAAGCATATTTGAAGTGTATGCAGAAATATGCTCATGGCTCAACCATCATCCCCTACGAGAAATAGTGGATGAATGTGGAACGGAAAATGAGAAACAAGAATATGAAAAATACATTGCCAAAAAAGAACAATTCCTGCGTCACTCAATAACATTCTTCACTGACTCATGCAGTCAGGATCTTGGAGGAGCAGTCACTGAAGTTAAACTGTTTCGCCTCAAGTTAGACACAGAGCTAAGCCATGATGTGCTGGATGGTACCATCCTCCCATTCCTTCAAGGAGAAGTAGCCAAACTTCTCAGCATACCCCAAATGAATCTCTACATTTTGTCACTTAGAGAGGGCTGCTTTGAAGTTGTTTTTTCGATTCCTGAAATTACATATAACAAGAACTTTCCACTGACGCTTGATCGCTCAAGAGCATTGGAAAACTTGACTTATGAGCCAGTAGGACTGAAATTCAAATCAATGTATTACTCAGATGTAGATACTCATGTAAGTTAGTAGAGAATGGTCATAAAATTAATATATTTGTAATAGACTTTGAGTGCCAAATCTGATGAGCAAGAAATATCATTTAATGATACAAAAGGTTAGATATGGTACATGTAATAAAGTAATGACTCCTTACTATTATAATGACAATTTACAGTATTAACACTCAGACCTTAATATCTTTGTAGAACAAATTATCAGTTACCCAACCGATACAATAAAAGTCTTATCTATACCAGTGAATCACACAGAAAAGGGTAAGCAGGAGGGAGTGACACTGTGAGCATTGATTAAGATCATTATGTGGCAGCTAGATGCAGTAACATACATGTACATACATACATGTACATGTAGATATAATTTCTTAAATGCACATATTATTAAAAAACAGAACATAAACAAAGGTACATGTATCTTGTATAGTAAAGATTTACAAAGTCTAAGCTTTATACCAAGTGCCAGTAAAGAAGGGCTTAATCATTGCATTTTGATACAACAGTTACTGCATGATTCAATAATAAACAATAGTTACTGTGTAGTGTTTTTCATCTTCGAGGGTTTGCAAATTAGTAAGCTTTCTCATGGTTATACCTGATATAGAACTGATACACAATACCGATCAACAATATTAAACATGTTTCCATTACTGTTTGATTTAAAATAACACTTTGATGCTTCATTGAAAACAACAGCAACAAGTGCATGAGTTTCTATCAAAATAAGCAATAAACATGTACAAACATGTGCAATAAACATATAATGCGCTTCCCCTACTCATGCATCATAAACAATATTTAATGTAAACAACATGTACATATATGTACATATAGCTGTGATATCTAATAGATTGTGCATTGTATTTATAGACTACAGACAAACATGATGCAGAGCATAAAAACAAGGAAATATTAGGAAAAAAACACTAACTAAACACAAACTAACTTTGTATGTACAGCTGACTTAAGATTATGATTGCATGTGGATATTAATGTAATGAAGTATGTATGTACATGTATACATGTAAGTATAGTAACAAGTATAATTAATAGGTGAAACCAAAAGCAACATCATAACTGATGATACACTATGCACACCTGACATATCAGATGGGGCAAGAAAACATCGATTAAGTTCAAATAATCACAAACATGAAGATGACCCTCTTGATTTCAAAGGAACAAATTTATCAGAGAGAATAAGTAAACAAAATGAGGCAGACATTGAACTGGACCATATTGTACAGTCAGGTACATATTAGTTAATAATAGTAATTAGTTAATTAATATAATATCTATTAATATTCTCCTAAGGTCGCATAAGAGGAAGACGGCCACAAATATTAATGAGACCCTCATTTTCAGAATTGGTGGAATCAAATGATTTTGGATGCCCAAATTTAAAAAGACAAAAAAAGGAATAATGACTTAATCACTGTTAGATGCACTGTATATCTCAATTAGTACAAACATTATTAATATTATTATAGTGTTGTTATTTATCAATAGTGTTGTTAAGTTGTCCATGTATTTGAATGAACTCATAAAAAATAGAATTTTATTTGTGGGTTAGTGGCTTACCACAAAATACAAACCAAACATTAATGAAGTGTCAATTCATTAGGCTTCGACTATTGTCATTAAAAAAGTTCCCTTTACTTAAGACATAAAGTAAATACTCAGGGCAGAGATGTGAGCAAGATCTTATTAATAAATAAGCACCAAGGTATAATGCTAACTGCACTGTGTAGAAAAATGGTCACATGACTCATACAGTTGAGTAAAGTAGCATTTCTGACATTGTGTAGGTTACAATGTTAATAATAACTACAATAAGCACACAGGAAATCAAAATGGCTCCACAAAATTTCCAAAAATTAAGGTGCATACACTCGACCTGTAATTAAAAATAGTTTGCTTAGGTTTCAGAGAAACATGCAGTTGGTATTATTTCTTTAACTCTGGAGAAATGCCTTGTGTGAAGTCTGTGAACTAACTTGAGTTACCTCAAAAAGGTGCATAAACTACAAAGGATTAAATTAATTAATTAAGCTACATGCCATAGCAAGCGATTTTAATTTTTTCAACAGACATACAGCATATTGTCTATACATACAGTAAATGTAGGAGGACCTCTGCTTATGTTGTTCATGCCTAACTGCTGCAGAGTAGCAATTATAATAATTGGTATTGTAAAGTTAATTCTTCATGAGAACATGCTGGCTGGAACAACTTAGGAACTTTGACCAAACCGAGGACAAAACAAAAAATCATTGAAAGCCTTCATGTTACTGTATAATCAAGCTCAATGAAGTATTGCTTTACTGTAAACAAGGTCTAAAAAATAAAAAGGATCTACATGTACCACCTGTGAGCTATGTACCCGCAGGCTTTGTGGCTAGGATTTAATCAAAACAAGCACTTCCAAACTCCATAGTGATCCCTGGCATAAGAAAATCCGCCACCTGCTAGCAAAAAATACTAATTAAGTTATGGTACATCTTGCAGCTTATGTGGGATTTCACTTTTAGTTTGGGATTTTCAATTATAGACAAATACTGTAATTCATTAACAAAATGTTAAAGTAGCTTGTAACATCTTAAAATACATGTAGCTCAAAAATGGCATCCCTATTTCAAAATATGTGCACGTGTACAAGTCAGCACATCCCTTGCAATTATAATCAATACACTGAAGGCAAAATACATACATGTACTTGTATACATGTACATTGTATGTGCTTTCATGAAACATTTATAGCCCTTGATAAAAGGAGCCCTACTGTATGTCATAACGAAATTTTCAGGCATCAAACTTTCTTGCTAGACACAATGCCTATATGGCTTCTGTCAACTTCTGTCAAATTGGTATTATGCTCCTAAATACTGTCTGAATGCTGTGTAGCTGCAACAACAATGACAAGTTACATGTACAATATTAGCATTAAACATTCAAAGGGTTTCATCATTTTTACTATTTTTTAAAAAAGCAATGAAATTTCACAAACTTGTCAAAATGTAGGAGCTATAAATAAAGGTAAGAAATGATGAAACAATTTCAATTTACACAATAAATTTCCATGTAAACACATAAAGTATCATACTGTGCAGACTGGCAATATACATGTACATGCATGCATGTGTAATCCAGGTCACATAATAGGATCAGAGGGAAACCAGTGTATTGTTACTAACAATAACTGCAATATATATGTACCTTTAATTTAACGATACATGACAAAAGTTAATAGAAAACCAGTAAATTATCAGTTATAAATCAAGTTAGTAATGCAGCCCATTAATTGAAAACAATATTAAAATATTAAAGGCAATGAAATGCTTCACTTATATAGAGCCCAACATACACTGAGCAACTTTGTTGCCAGTACCTTTGATGTGGTGAGGCAACTTGTTGCCAGAAGTTGAGAGTCTCTCTACTTTCTGCAACATGTTGCCCAGTGTTGCTCAACCACATCAAAGGTCTGACTACAAGTTGCCAGCAACAAAGTTGCTCAGTGTATGCTGGGCTTAGTAAAGCCCTCCATACACAAGGCAACATGTTGCTAGCAACTTCTGTGGTTACTTTGATCTTGTAATCATCTTGTTCCAAAAATAGAACAGAATTCTATTTTTAGACACAAGATCAAAGTGACCATAGAAGTTGCTAGCAACATGTTGCCTAGTGTATGGAGGGCTTAATACAGACCAGGAACTTTTCATTTAAAATTCATTTACATTTAATTTAAATTTATGTCAACAATTACATGTAAGTTACATGTGATAATGTATTAAGGCTGGTTTACAATATGACGTAAGGCCAATGTACCATCAATTTTTTAATCAAAAGTGTGGGTGATTTGACCTACTGGCGCATGTTTTCCGCTAGAATGTCAAATGTCAACGTAATGTCAGGACTAGTGCAATATTGTAAACCAGCCTTTACATATGCTATGCATGAACAATGTTAACAGGGATACATGAAAACATTATGTCACACAAAAAGCAGCCATACATGTAGGGACACGCAGTCACGCACATTATTTGGGAATTTCTTTTGAAATAATGGGTGGGAAATTTAGAGAAAGAATAATGGGCTAAAATTTGCCTGCCTGGATCACGTGATCAATATTTAACCCTTTCAATACTGCATGAGCCATGAGCATGTGTCAGCAAATAGTAGTTACAGTACAATTAACAGCACTTTACAGCAGCAGCAATGAGTAACTCCACTGGAAATAATACTGCTGGTTCTAGTAGTCTATCTATGACTGATGACTGACTATGACTATGACTGATGAATCATGAATGATGATATTAATAAATGAATTTTTGGTATTATCAGAGCATAATATTGGGAATAATGGGCCAAAAAGGAAAGAATAATGGGATTGAGGAAGAGAATTGAAGAATAGAATTATAGGGTTAAAGAAAAGAATAATGTGCATGTCACTACATACATGTATATACATGTGTATGTAAACTAGTAAAAGTAACCAATTGGTAAAATAGTATTATTAAGACAGTTTCTAAAAAAACAAAATTGGCTGGAAAAAAATTGTGCTTAGACAATAATCATAAAATAATTTAAAATAAAACTGGCTTCAATCTGACAGTATCAAGTAAAAAGATCATTGCTAATGAATTATCATTACACATTACAACATTATGCTCCATTTTTGAAATTATTAAACCACCAATTGTCAAGAGTATACTAATTGTAAGAGTGATTAGTACCTCGTGTATCCGTTCTGATATCTGGACAGGAACAGGGTTGAATGCTATCTTCTTACTAGACGCTGGCTTCTTTGAATATGATGATCCTTCTAAAGATGTCAGAGAAGACTCAGTATCTTTAGAACTTCCTAAGTGATAATTATACAAGTTACAAGTTACAGAACATATCAGGTATAATCTAGAAACTATGAACTGCTGTGTCCTTATAAAGAGTTGTCATTAAAGGTTTTACACCATCTCCCATTTTGTCATATAATGGGGCAAATTTAAATTAATAATATCTATTCATTGACATGAGATTGAAATCACTAATATTAACCACTATTATATAAGAATCAATAAAAGATGTTGCTAAAAAAATGAATTTTCTACGGCCAATTTTCTTGGGCTATTTCTTGGAAATAAGCAGTACAAATTACAGACAAAG